CATTACAAGGCCCCTCCCATAGTTCTTATCTGCAACACAATTTGTTGATCTTCTCTTTCTGCTGCATTCTGGTGGTACCTGAGAGGCTGTCTGTTTGCATGGAAAGAGGAAGGGATTATCAATCAAACAATTTAGGTTTCAATTTTGGTTTTGCCACTCATCGATTAAGGCGTGCGTTTCATTTATTTTCTCAATGAATAGTAATGGAGTGCTTAACAGAGGAGCAGCATTGACTGGTTGAGGGTTCAGGCTCTGGCGTCAATGCCTGGGTTAGAAGTGAACTCTGCCATTTTCCGGCCATATAATCTTGAAACCATTCCCATCCTCTAATACTGCAGACTCTCGGAGCCCTCACAGGCCTGGACCATAGATAGTGATCTTGAAATCACGGGATGAATACATTTGGTATAGTTGTTTGTTCCAGAGTTAAACAGACCTGAGTTCAAATCCTGACTCTACCAGTTCCTAGTTCTGTGACCTTGGGAAAGGAATGAGCACTCAGTTTCCTTATCTGCAAGGTGGGGATAATAATCATGCTCACTTCACAGGATAGTTGTTGTAATCATTAAATGAGTCACTACGTGTAGAAATCATAGGACAGGGTGCCTGAAACTAGCAAGTGTTCAATAAATGTTAGACATTATTACTTTATAATTAATAACTGTTGTTACCATCACACACCAGGCACTGTATATGGCTCTGAGAAAATAATGGAGGAGAACATGAGATAAGGCCTTTGTCCTTACCAGACTTTCTTTCTAATAAGTGAAGATAAATTAAACAATTAAATACCTATATAAATACACATCATGATGAGTATCAGGAAGAAAAGGAACAGGAAAGGGTGGTAGGGTGTGTGGTAGGTCTAAGAAGTGTCATTTGAGCTGTGACCTAAAGAATAAATAGGAGGTCGAGTGGTGAAAAGGGGTGTGCCCCTATGTGCAAAGGACTGTTCAAGCAGACAAAAAAGCATGTGTAAAGGCCCTGAGGCTGGGGTGAAAGCCTGCATGGTTACAGCGTGAAGACAGGTGGAGAGGCAGCTGATGCAGATAGCAGACTCCAGGCCACACAGGGCTGGTGGGGGCTGTGGAGCCAGAATGCTTTTTCAAGGGCAAAGGAAAGGCACGGATGACACCTGGTTTCCTTTCTGGCCCACTGGTTTTCCAAAATGAAAGCAAAAGGATTGCATAAGAACCTCTCACAGACCCCTTTAAGGCTGAAGAATGTGAGGCACTAGGATGACTAACCATAAAAAGAGGCTGTTTCTGGGAAAAGCAGGAAGGAAATAAAGAAGTGGAGGGAGGGAGGGAAAAAAGGAGGGAAAGAGGGAGGCAAGAAAGAGAGAGAGATAGCTTGACTGAAACTTCAGTGGAGACGTGAAGTCTAGAGGTAAAATGTTGAAGACTCAACTCGGGTGCAGATTCAGTACCCCTGATGTCTGTGTGTGCGTAGGTGTGTTTGACTTCTGCATGCGTTTGAATGTTTCCTGATTTGGCAGGAGCCCAAACTGGGGGAACCTTTCCGTGGAAGACAAATAAGACGAATGGGCTAGAAACGATGGAGAGAAGAGAAAATGCCGTGTCAATCATTTTGGTTAAATGTATGATTACTGGCTATAAAGATACACCTGGAACAGCTCCTGCCTGAAAGCTGGTGTTGAGGAATTGAAATGCTTGCGGAGGCACGGTTCAGTGTCTCCTTTCAGGAGCTGCTCGGTGCAAATCAAACAGAATTGCATTAGGAAAGGAGTGACTGAGAAAGTACTCTTTGGAACAGAAAATTTTATTGGGAGAGGAAAAGAAAAAAGAGCTTAAGTCCAAAAAGGACTGACTCCAAGAATGCTAATTTGTTCCAGCCTCCTGGAGCCCAGAGGAACTTGAGCACTTCTAGCCTTGATATTCAGATGCAGCTGTAGAAAGAAGCACGCTCGGCAGAGAAAATCAAAAATAAATAAGTGTTCTTTGGGCCCAGATTTCTCTTTCCCAACTGAGTGGGGCTATGATTTAAGGGCTTAGGAAGGGGAAGCACACACTGGTCCAGCTGTGCAAATACTTTATAATGTTAATACTGCCTCTGGCTCTCAGGACTTGCTGCTGATATGGGTATGTGTGTGGCTGGGTATCTTACAAAGCTCGCAGCAAATGCTGGAGAAAATACTGATTTGAGGTTCTTCCAAGCAATGGGAAGTAAAGGGAGCCCATTCTGATTTAGGAAAAGTTATTTCCTGGTAAGGAAATATCCACTAGCAATACATTTTATTCTCTTAATGACTTCCCTATTTGCCAGTGGTTCAATTAGCATATGCCTGATTTGAGTTAATAGCAGCAGTTGCCATTTATTGGACATTTACAATATGTCTCAGGTACTTACACATTATTTCACTGAAACTTCACAATGCATTACAAGGTAGAGTCTAATACATCCATTTTACACATGAGGAAACAGAGGCTCAGAGAGGTTAAGTAACTTGTACAAAGACCCATGTTGCTGAAATTTCTATGCAGATCCGATTCCCAAGCCCATGTTCCTTTTCTTTTATGTGAAATGGGGGTGGCTAATATCACCTTCAAATTCTCATGTTCCAAAATTCCTTTAAGAACACTGCAGATTGAGCAAGTTCACTAGCATTTCTGTTTTGTGTGCATTTCTCACCATGGGACACTCTCTCCTTGTCCATCTTCAGCATTCCAGCATTCAAAGATTTTCTCCTGTCAGAACCTCCTCCTAGATCATTTATCCCCAGTGCCAGTGGCAGAAAATAGGAATTGGTGTTTAGCAATAATTCCTTCCTTTTCCATAGCTGTAGTCAAGGGCTTACACTCCCCCATCTCAGACCCTCCCAATAACATTACTGAGAAGCAGACAAGGCAAGCCTACTATCCAACAAATGAGAAACTGAGGCTCAGACAGGGAGAATGACTTGATCAACGTCACACAATGAGTTAAAAACAGAGTCATGACTACAAACCCCATCTCCTAAGCCCCAGTCTGGCACCTTTTCTGACAGAGCACACTGCTTTCCAATCTTGAGGAGCTGCAAGCTCGGAGGCCAGGCAGGAAGCATAAATGAACAAACGAGCAGGTGAGAGAACGCCTTTCCCCTGCCAGTGCTCACTGGGTTTCAGCCAAACTTTGTCAAGTAAAAAGCAGGTCCAGATCTTTCAACTTTTTTTTAAAAGAGAAGCTGAGAATCTAGATTTTTATGTGTAATCTCACAATTTTTTAAAAGCTGCCTCATACTTTAGTTTTTAATTGATTTAGATATTTGGCAAATAAGGTCAACTATTATGCATCCTTGAGCTGGGGCTACCCTTGGGCCACCAGTTCTCTGCCTCCACCTTGCAATGGAGTAATGATGGAGAACTTGATTATGGTTTCAGAGATATCCAGCTGAAAGCCCTGTCATCCATAGGCATGCCCACTGCTGTGGGATTTAAGCCTCAATCAATCAAATAACAGAGAACAGTGACATTTCTAATTCATAAGCAAAGGATGGTCAGACAGAGATACTCTAAATTCTAGGGGCTAGGAAGATTGTTCCAGGGGTATGATAGTAAACCAACTCTCCAGAGGAACAAAACAAAACAAAAACAATGTAGAATTTGTCAGTTTCCATGGTATAAATATTCCCACCATAACTGAGAACTACTGATGGTTTAACAGTCAGTTTGTAAGATTCATGATTATTTAACAATTGGCTCTGGATATTTAATATTCGGTACCAGGCCATCAGAATTCAGTCATTCCAAATTGGTTGCATATTATAAGCATGGACAAGCTTGTTAAAAAACAGTATCCTAGGCCCCACTCCAGACCTACGAAATCAGAATCTCTGTGGATAAATCCTAGGACTCTATGCTTTCAAATGCTTTCTGAAATGAGCAGTAAGATTTGGAAATCCCCAACATAATCCTGTATCCAATTAAGAAAGTTAGACAGCCTGTATGAACCATCCAACCGGCTGAAGACAGTCTGTTCAGAACTTTAAATGAAGAGTCCAGAACCAAGATAAGAAACCCAGGGCTTTGAGAGACACAAGATAAACATGTTAAGTATTATTATATGATTGTAATAACAAAACAAAACTAATCATACATGCAGTTTTTATTTGAGTGTTTCTATGTGCCAGTCACTGTTCTAGGTACTTTACATACATTATGTTTATTTATTTATTTATTTTCTTCAGAGAGTAAAGGAAAGAGCTTTTTTTTTTTTTTTTTTTGAGTTGGAGTCTCACTCGGTCGCCCAGACTGGAGTGCAGTGGCCGCTTCTGGCCACCGCAGCATCGCCTGCTGGCGTCCAGCGATCCTTCTGCCTCAGCCTTCCGAGTAGCCGGAATTGCAGGCATGCGCTACCACGCCCGGCTGATTTTTTTTTTTTTTTTGATTAATTGTAGAGATGAGGTCTCTCTGCCCAGGCGGGTCTCGAACCCGCAATCCACTCACCTCAGCTTCCCAAAGGCACAGGATTACAGGCTGAGCCACCGAGCCCAGCTGGAAAGAGCTTTAATTTGAACTGAAAGTGCATACCCAAGAGAGAGGAGTGCAGGCAATCTCCAAGAGTGAGATGCTACATACTTTACTTTAAAAATCCTCACAACAATGCTTTGAGATAGCTATCACCGTTATTTCCATTTTATAAATGGGAAAATTGAAGCACAGAGAAATCAGATAGCTTGCCCAAGGTCACAATGCTAACACAGTAAATAGCAGACTTGGGATTGGAAGCCCAGCTCTTGAGACAAAACTCTCAACTGCGATTAGGGGAAACCCTGAAGGCAGAGATTATTTTGCATACAGCCACTGTACTCAGACATTTTTCACTGAATTAGATTGAACAAAGGACAGCAGTTCATTTTTTTTTTTTGGTTGAAGAGCACACACTTCTGTCTTCCCCAGGGAATCTGGAAATCTTTGTAGGGTTTCCTCCATTCCAAAAACATTCAACAAAGTCTATTCTGAACTCTCTAGTCTCCTGATCACTGGTAGGGAGAGTTTTACCTTCTGTCCCACTTTCTGTGGTTTTGCTGTCACTCTGCTTGGCATCCTGGAGGGTGTTAGCACTCATATTGGCAGCTGTTCTGAAAGTGGACACTCGACTCCTGGGAGATATACACCTTCTGTTTGTAAGTCACCCTACTTTTGAGCCTCCATTCAACCCTGTCTTGCTTTCACATCACAACTGAGACTAGAAATCTAGCTCTCTGTGCAGACACTCTGCAGTGCAAGGCATTCTGGCAGTCTATCCTCATAGGGGAGCCCTGGGCCCACTAAACATTCCAGATAATGCAGGAACACAGAGAGTAGAATAATACCAGCCCCATATAACCTTTAGGGGCTCTTCCCCAGCAAAATGATAAAATACCTGACCTTCATTTACAAAGAATACCATGCCAAATTTAGAAGAAATAAACCTAGGATGATCAAGTAGTACATTATTGAAATGTGCATCTTCTGCTTTTGTTTTAAAAAGGATTTTTTAAGAGAGTCTCAATTCCAAATTGAGACTAGTCACTCATTAGCCCAAGTGACTAGGCAACTGTGAGGAGAGAGAGGGCTGGCAGGACACTATGGGAGAACGCATGCCTCAGCTAAAGGGAGAAGCCACTGCCCAGCATCAGCTCATTGTGGACATGTCTGACAATTTTTCAAGATAAGGCACAGAACTTTCTCTTGTGTTAATGAGAGTCTATGTGATTTGGAACAACGCTCCCAAGGGGACAACTAGAAGAGTTGGATAAAATATTTAAAAATCTGCTTGAAGATATAGGAAGCTAACAAGAGAGTAAGAAATAAGAGGGCCAGGATCTAGGAATGGAGGAAGCCAGGGAGGTGATCCTTGCGTTTGGAGCTATTTGTGCTCTGGAGACAGTTATCAATTCCAGAGGCATCAATTAAACAACTAAGAGGAGGCACTAGAAACATAAGACGGGATTTGGAGTTTAGGACCAAAAAGTGGTGGTGACAGTGAGAGAGATTGTTCAACTCTGGTCACTTTAGGCCAAAACCCAGAAGGGCTGCCCAGTAGAAGTAAGACTGAACTGGAAATAGCCAGGGACTTGTAGACACTGCAGTTTAGCTTCAAATCATCTCAGCCCCTGAAAATGGATTGAAGTGATAATGGGTTGCTAGTGCAGCAAGCAAACATATTCTCTAGGGACAAAGATGACATCATCCTAGGCCCAAAATTATTTTTGTGTTGCACAAAAACACTTATGCAAATACAATGCCCAGAACAAAATAATAAATACCAGTTACAGCAGAAGATAAGACAGCATACATAAAGATGACCAGAAAAGCAGAGAAAATAGGAACAGATCCACAGAGGTTCAAGGTTTGGGGTAATTAGACACATAAGGCATAGATTTTATAGTCAACTATGCTTACTATCTTCCAGGAGATGAATGAAAGAATTGATAATTTTATCCTAGAACTGAAAAGCATGTAAAACAACAACAAAATTCCCAAATTTAATAGTACAACGAACAGCTTCCAAAATTTAATAGACAGACATAATGGGAGATTGAATGCAGCTAAAGAGACCATTAGCAAACTTCAAGATAGACCAGAAGAAAATAAGAGAATTAAAGGACATAAAGAGAATTATGATGAAAAATTCAGAAAAAATGTGGGAGACACAGAAGTTACAGCAAGAAGCCCTAACATCCTTATAAATGGAAGGTCATAGGAAGAAAAGGAAGAGGGAAACATAGACGTGATATTTGAAGAGTTAATGGCTAGAAGTTTTCTAAACCTAATAAAATACATCAAGATACAAATTCAAGAAGTCTAATGTACCCAAAGCAGATTAAATAAAAAGAAATCACACCTAAGTGCAGCACAGCAGAATTACTGAAATCCAAAGACAAAGAGACTCTGCACTCAGAGTGAGGGAGGTTGGCAGACAGATTACTATTAAAAGATTAACAATAAGACTGATAGCTGATGCTTCTGAGTCACAGTTTGAAAGTACTGACAGAAAATAACTACAATGTAAACTCTATATCCAACAGAAGAAGCAAGAACATAATGATGCAGTTAAACCTATCTTTAGAGGAAAATGTATGGCTTTACAAATGCACATATTATCAAAGAAGGAAAGTTATAAAAAAATCAATGAGCTAAGCAGCCACTTTAAGAATTTGGGAAAAAATTCTATAAATTAAACATAAAGAAAAAAGAAGGAAATTCCGAAATCAAATGACCAAGTATGCGTGGTTCTGACCTAGCCTTTCTTTTCTATTCTATCTGTAGAAATTAATAAAATAAATGTTCAATAGAAAAGATCAGCAAAGTCAAAACCAATCCCTGAAGAATTTGAGAGAAACTGTGAGAGTAAACAAGCAAAAGCAAACCAACAAACAAAAAACCCCAATGTCAGGAGCATAAAATGTGGTATTATAAATCCTTCACACATTAAAAAAAGATAAGAGGATATTATGAACAAAATTACGACAATATACCTGAAAATACAGATGAAGTGAACAAATTCCTAAAACAATACATCTTATCAAAACTGCCACAGAAGAAAAAGTTGCCTAGTACTGTACCTTTTAAAAACACTTAAAGCTCTACAAAAACAAAACAAAACAAAACAAAACCCCCAAAACTCTCCAGGCCCGGATTATCTCTTTCTGAGTTCTATGAAATATGTAATAAATACCATCCACCTTATACAAATCCTTCCAGAGAACAGAAAGAGGGAGCACCTCCTTATTCTCCTTTTGATGTTAGCATAACCCCAATACCAAATCAAACAAGGACATTAGAAGAAAATTACAGGTTCTTATTTCATAATTAGGATGATAAAGTCTTAAAATATTAGCAAACATAATACAGGAGGTATCATGATCAAGTTGGCAAGGAAAAAATAATGCTGTCCTTATTCATAAATGACAGGATTGTATTCATAGGAAGCCCCAAAAAACACTACAGAAAAATACTAGCATTAAGTTAACTTAGCAAGGTCATGGGGCATAAAATCAGTATAAAATTAATCATTTGTATTTCTATTGCATACACCAGCACCAAACAATTATAATGGTTTTAAAGATACTTTTTATAATATCAAAAATATTAAATACCTGGAAAATAAATCTATGTGGAATATTTCTGTACTGAAAAATATAAAATATTACTGAAAAAAATATAAAAATCCGAAATAATTGGAGCAATATATTTTGGGAGACTCAGTATTGTAAAGATATCAATTCTCCCAACTGGTGTGTAAATTAAATGCCATCCCAATTAAAATTTCTGTAGGTTTATTTGGAATCTGACATGCTGATTTCAAAATTTGTATGAAAATGTAAAGGAAAGGCCTAACAACAATGGAAACAATTTTGAAAAACAAATAAGGTGAAAAGACTTCCTGTCCTAGACATCAAGGCTTAGGTTAAATCTAAGACCTAAGAGAAACAAATGGACAGACAGAATAGAAAAGAAAGGAAACACATACTTGGTCATTTGATTTATGACAAAGATGCCACTGATGTTCAGTGAAGAAAGGATGATCTTTCCAATAAATAATGCTGTTAATCAGATATCTATATAAAAAAGAGATTCTGGACCCCTATAAGCACATCATGCACAAAAGTCAATTCTGATGGATCATTAATCTAAATGGGAAAACATAAAGCCACCAATAGTAATCCAGAAGAATATATTCTTTACCTCGGGGTAGGTAAAATCTTCTTAACAGGATATTAAACTATCCATAAGGGAAGAAATTGATAAATTGAACTGCACTGAAATGAACAATTTCTATCCTGTATGTCACAAGATACCATGGACAGAGTGAAAATGCAAGCGACAGAAAGGAAAAAGTTGTTTGCAACATACACATTTGACCAAAGACTCACATCTATAACACTTAGAAATCAATAAGAAAAGGACAGACAACCTAGTAGAAAAATGGGCAAAAGGTATAAACTGTTATTACTTTAAAAAGCATATCATCAACATTTCAATGAGCACATGAAATGAAGCAAAACCTCACGAATAATTAAGAGAAATACAAACTAAAGCCATGATGACTTATCACTACACCCCCACCAGAAGGGCTAAAATTAAAATCACTTACAATCCCAAGTGTCTGAGAGGATTTGGAGCAAGGGGAATCATCACATATTGATGGTGGGAGTGTAAATTGGTACAGCTACTTTGGAAAACTGTTTGGCAGTATCTATTAAAGCTGAACATTCACATACCACTCCTAGGTTTATATCCAACAGAAACGTGTGCCCATGTGCACAAAGACACACACACAAGAATACTTATAGACTCATTATTCAAATATGTAAACAGCCCAAATGTCCATCAACAGTAGGATCATGGACGACTAAGTTGTAGCACACTCATATAACAGAATCCTATATAGGAAGGAAAACGAGTAAACTACACCCATATACAATAACATGGATGAATCCTGTAAGTACAATATTGAACAAAGGAAAACAGATCCACGCACAAAGATACTACATGATTTCCTTTTATGCATTCCAAAAAGTAGGCAAAATTAAACTGCAACATTTAGGAATGCAAGCTTAGGTGGCAAATCTACAAAGAAAAACAAAGATGTTATTGTGGCGTCAGGATAGAGGTTCACACCATATGGTGCTGGGAATGGGTGCAAGGGAGTTCCTGAGGGTGGCGATCTTGTAATTCTGGACCTGGTTGGGTGTTAACTTTGTGATACATCACTGAGCTACATGGTTTTGCCTTGAGCACGTATGTCAGATTTTATAATTTAAGAAAGTTAAAAGTGAGAAAAGATAGAAACCTAGATTTCAAATAAAATTCTTGACATTTAAAAATGTTAGCAACAAGTTTTTCAAAAATTAAAGTCTGTTTAAGAAATAGAAATCTAGGTCACACAAATTTCATCTGTGACCTGCCACTTTGTGACCTCGGAAGGTAACTCATGTGCTTGATTGGGAAGTTAAAAGGTAACAAGCTCTAGACTCGATTCTGATTCTCTTCTGGTAAAAAGAGTTTGGGAAAGTTAGAGGTCACAGAGTTTATTTGTATATAGAGAATGAAATAACAAGGCAAGTTCTTTCTCCCACA